AATTGTTAAAGTCAATTAGTTTGGGGCGTGACCAATTACGTTTCACAACAAAAAGTGCCCACAATTCTCTCATGTTTGGTGGAGCTTGATTTAACAAAGAGACGCTTTTCAAATCTTCTTCATAACCAAGAGACCTAAAGACAGCCACTAGACTTGAAATGGTCATCGAGAAGCTAATGATGTTCTCAGAGTTGTGCATTCGAAGCTGCGGGAAACTGGACAACTTATCAAAGTGGGCCGTAATTACGTTTTTTTTGTGGCTGGCCAAACTTTCTTTCTAGAGTTTTCAGAGCATCCTTATACATTCTTCCACTGTATGCGAACTCTGCTATGGCTGACTTAGCTTTCCCCGTGACTAATGTTTTTAAATAAGTTAACTTCACATCATCGCTTAGAGACGCTGCGTCTACAGTACTGCAAAATTGGCCAAACCATTCGTGCAATTGGAGCGGGTTGCCATCATACTGGGCCAGCTTCCATTCTGGAAGGGGATCCTTCTTTGAGACTGACAGAGCTTGGACTAAGCCATTCAGTGTCACGGCTTGCGATTGGGGAGCTGGTTGCAACGACGGCAATGTTTTGCTAGGATCAGCTGCAAAAGGTTGCTGCTGATTTATGTAAGTGTTTTCAGCCCATGCGTCGTGATTGGGAAACCCATAGTAAACGGTACCACCACTTGATACGTGGGGGAATTGGTGCTGAGATATTGGCGTTACGGATGAAAAAACACCAACTGATGGGTTTGTGCTACCATCACTTGTTAACCCAATGATACATTGGGTGACTGCGGGTCTCCACTTTGACATTAGTCGCAAATTGGGCTGACTAATAACGGCAGACTGTCCGCTTAACGGTTTGTTCACTGACGCAGGATTGCTATACACGTTATGTGATAGCAAGTTTTGATTACTGCAGATTAAATTTGCAGGTGGTTGTGACACAATGGCATGGGGGGTGTCTCCAGAGTATTGGTTGGAGTTGGCGGGCATCTTTCCAACAACTCGGGAATCGTTATTAAAGTTGTTGACGGGGATATGTTGAATGGAAGACGGAGGATGAGGTATAGAGAAGTAACAGCATATCGGAGTATTGGTAGCTGCTGTTCCAGCTGGACTAAAAAATGATGATGTGTTGTTTTCGCAAAGTGTAGCGTTATTGGAAATAAGCAACGACTGCGTTTCGTGCTCAGGACTAGTGGATACAGCGTGCTTGATTCCATCGCCATTGCTGAAGGAGACGGTTGGTTGATAGGGATAACATTGTTGATCACAATCAAAAGTTTGATTCGGCACCGATCGCCTAGGTGAAGCTTCCGCTGTGGACACATTTCTGTGTTGATGCGAACCACTTTCTATATTTAAAAAGTTTTCAAACTTTGAAAACGGAACTACCTTGGGTCCTTTTTGGTTTTCTAATGCATGATCAACCCAATCGTTTACCTTGTCAGAACGACGATCAACCGAAGACGCCAGCTCGAGATGCTGATCTATTTCAGACTCTTCGAGGTATTCAGTTTCAACCATTTTTGCTTCAGCTAATTTAATATGATTTTCTTCGCTTAATCGTTCCATATCAAGACGACTTTTTTCAATTCGTAAACGATGTTCTTGCTCTTTACGGTCAATTTCAAATTTAAATTCTTGTTGTTTTCGTTCCATCTCAATCAGATGCTGTTGCTCTTCGATGATGGCTTCCTGTTGTTTCAGTCTTAAGGTTGCTTCATTTTGTTTTTCAAGCTCTTCTCGCTTCATCTTCGCTAGGAGCAGTTCTTTGCGGCGCTCATTGGGGTTCAATGATTTCATTGAGCTTTGCTTACTCGACCCGAATTTTGCCGATTTTGATGAAACTTTTGACCAACTAGTTTCACTGACGCAGACCTCTGAAGCTTGATTAGATTCCATATGAGCACGAGCCTTACCAGTTACTCCATCAATAACTTTAACTATCCTATCCCACCATGCAGCCAACTCCGTTAATAATTTGCTAGGTTTATCGGTTTTATTAGCTAATATCACAAGTTCATCATTTTTTGCTAATGCTTTTTCGAGAATACTCTTGCATGATTCAAATAAGGCGTTTATTTTTGTTTTCCGAATTGGTCCCTCTAAACTCTCAGTTATGCGACTGGGAAGTACGGAAAGCTCATTTTCTAGTGATGTTCGACCATTCATCAATCGTCGATATTTTAACTCAATTTTTTCTGTCACTTTGATTACTTTTGAACTTGTTCACTTCTACTCAACCGCTCAACTGCTCATTTTGAGAGAAAAAAGGGAATAATCAATTTAAGAACTCAACTTTAGTATCAATAAATTATATTAAGACTCATTAAGCAATATCACACATTAGAGAAGCACTTCATTTATTTCCTAGTTGCTGCTCAGCACTTCTTCTGTTTCGATTAGTTTGCCGCTTGCGTTTTCCTGGTTTAGGAGTGTTTTTCTTTGAAATAATCTACTTCAAATTCTTGCTATAACGCCTTAGGATCGTAAACGTTTTCAGTTCTAGAGAGAGATCCTGGTGTAGTTCTAAGTGCTTTTGCCCTAACTCAGTGAGGTTCTGCTTCCTTCTAGATATCAGGTCTGTTACTATATTAATAACTAATATACCTGACTCTTTCAACTTACTATTTATATCTTCCGTGCCTACACGTTTACAGTAAACGATTGCATAAATATTACGTTTATAGTTTAAAAGAATCTTCTTAAGCTGATTAGGAGTTAGTGCGTTAAACCTATTACTACGGTGTCGACTAATAGAATTCTTAACGGCGTCGTGCCGAGTAACATTATCGTTTCGGTTTAACAGATAGTGATCAAGTTGATACTGACAAGTTTTACGGACGTTCACTGCGTTATGGTTGAAACTTAACCCGGGAATGGCTACGCACGATTGAGATACACGCTTTTGCGAAGCGGGGGAAAGTTTTTTCAAAGCGTGGTGCAGCGAGCTAGCAGCTAGTATGAACATTTAGTGAAGAATTAAATCAACTTTAGAGGAAGGGAATCAAGCAAACCGCGACCTGACCTCCCACAACACCCTGAGCTAACAAGGTTGTAGCAAAAGATAAGACAATTTGCTCGATAATACGCTATGGGTCTCGACTACGGCTACTTTTATCCAAGTGAACTAGTTTAGTTAGCTGCACCACGTTTCAAGAACAAACACGGCGTTTTTCAGAATTTTTTTTTCCGAAAATTTTCCAAAATTTTTCCTTTTGAATTTTTTTTTTCGAAAATTTTTTTCCTGCGTTTTCACCCAAGAGTTCAAGTTCCAACAGTAACCTGATGCGTTTGCGAAATTTTGATTTTTTTTCCCTAAAAAGTCCAGAATTTGGGGCAAAAAACTCGACTCGGTCGTTTAAATTAAATTATTGTGAAGATAGGCGCTTTGCTGAATAATTTGCAAAACTTTAAAATTTTCGGAAAAAAATCAAAATTTTCAATTTTTTTTTCAAAATTTTTTGCTTTTTTTTTCGATACGGTGTTGAGCAAACAAAAACGGCATTAGGACAACGTAATTAAGGCTGATGAGGCCGGTTTTTTCCTAAACCCACAGAAATTTTTCTGATCAGGTTTTGGTATCGAGAAAAATGGGGGGTTACGATTTTGCCATCAAAAAACCTCGTATCAGAATTTAAAGCATCAAATCAGCAGGTTAGCACAAATGGATAAAGTTTTGGTTTTTTAGTCTTACAAGTTTTGTAGAGGCGTTCACCAGTAGATTCCAAAATCCACAGAAAACTTCGGGTGTTGAGAAAAAATGGATGTCCTCAATCCACAATCAGGATACCTGGAAAAGCCTCCCCTTCTAACTGGGACGTTTCGGCTAACTGGGTCGTTTCGGGCAATCGGGTCGTTTCGGTCAATCGGGTCGTTTGGGCAACTTTCGGCTTATCGCACACTTTCGGCTTATCGCACACTTTCGGCTAATTGGGTCGTTTCGGCCAATCGGGTCGTATCGGTCAATCGGGTCGTTTCGGCCAATCGGGTCGTTTCGGCCAATCGGGTCGTTTGGGCAACTTTCGGCTTATTGCACACTTTCGGCCAATTGGATCGTTTGGGCAACTTTCGGCTTATTGCACACTTTCGGACAATTGGAGCGTTTGGGCAATTTTCGGTTTATTGCACACTTTCGGCCAATTGGAGCGGTTGGGCAACTTTCGGCTTATTGCACACTTTCGGCCAATTGGAGTGTTTGGGCAATTTTCGGTTTATTGCACACTTTCGGCCAATTGGAGCGGTTGGGCAATTTTCGGCTTTAGCACACTTTCGGCCAATTGGGTCGTTTGGGTAACTTTCTGTTTATTGCACACTTTCGGCCAATTGGGTCGTACTGTCCGGAACATCTAACGTCTAGAATACTGTCCGAAATATTGTCCTCTGGAATATCGTCCGGAATATTGTCCGAAATACTGTCCGAAATATTGTCCTCTGGAATATCGTCCGGAATACTGTCCGGAATACTGTCCGGAATCCTGTCCGGAATACTGTCCGGAATACTATCCGGGTCGGCGGACCAAAATGTGCCGCACTCTCGTATCCTGTAAGACCTTACAAAAACCTGCTTCAAAATCTGTAAATTGTCGGCAACTTAACAGATAATATGAAGAGTAAGTAAAATATGACAACAATCAGTTTAACATTTTCGGTTAGCATTTTTTTGCAATACGGTTTTCAACAATCTGAAAAATCTATAAACATTTTGATGGCAAACTGACCTTAATCGGACAAACCAGTAGTTTTCAAGGCCTTTTGTCTAAGAAAATCTAATTTTAGCTGTTTCACTTTCGCGCTATAATGACGTCATTAATTTAAGATTAATTTAAGCGCGAACACAAACCTTGCTGAAAAACCGCTCAAACCGCTCATATCTTGAGCGGTTTTTGAGCGGGATCTCGACCCGGGTATCAAATACACGCCCAAAGTTGTCAACCTGACTTGAAAAAAAAAAACAATTCTTAGCATAGTGTTTTAGCCTTAAAATAGAACGAGTCCTACCTCTGAGGCACACATATTTCCAGATTGGGGACCACAGACGGGGTGTCCACACTTGGGCAGTTGACGCGCATCTTTTTCAATTGCAGAGTGGCATCTCACACAAGTAGGCACTTTTCTTAGGCTGTCGTGTATTAAAAAATAATCAGATCTGAGCATATCACGTTCGCATGAATATTAATAGCAAAAAGAATGATTTGTTTGGCAAGACCGTGCAATATTACATTTGGTATATACTTTTGTAAGTTTAATCAAACTCGTCTGTTTTTTTTTTTCAGTAACACACAGTATCAAATGAAATATGCGTAAACACCTTTTAATACTTTTTCAGTCGATTGTCCACAGAATGAGCTACTGGTTCCAAGTATACTGTTTAAGTAGTATTGTATCGTGTCCCGGATCCTAAGGGGTGTCCTTCCTAAGGGGAGGGAGGTCCACACGTAAAGCAAAATCCTGGGAAAGTGGTCCTAGGATTTTGTAAATGAGCACAAGTTCCCACCCCTAAAGTAAAAGACCCCCTCCTTAGGATCTTGTTAAGCTGCGGTTAACAACCGGGACCCGATACAATAATTCCCTCTAATTCCTTTTAAAGCGGTCCCTTTTCCCGCGATAATTAAAGTTAATCGTCCTTATTCCTCAACTTTTCTTTTTCGTCCGAGTTTCATGTAGATATCATTTCCTGGCTTTCTTTCTTTTCGTCAACGATTTGTCATGCTTGTAAAAGTTTGTTAGTGAAAACGAGCCAAAAGATTTCACACAGCTGTTTGAATTAACACTTGGTTTGCGTCAACTAGTTTATTTGCCTGAGGCTATTTATGTTAAAACAGTGATTGAGCCCAATACGAGTTTTTTATTAGTTGTAAATTGGTTAAAACCAAAACATGTACAAGTCGAAGTATAAAAAGGACGAACAGTAAAAATCATCTGATAATATATGATTCAGAATTTAATGTTTATTGTTTTGGTTTTCTTTGCGCTGTTTTTTAGATGGTCGTTCTTCTGAAGCTTCAGATAAAATAAATGGGTTATTTATAGGGGGACGTCACGGACGCTACTAGAAGTTTCTTCTTGCAGCTCTGTTTCTGAGTAGGGCCGCTGCAAAAACCCCCAATCCCGAAGTTGAAAATCGGGAGAACTGTTATCAGTTTCATTGTATGATTTGGTTCACTCGGTTTCCATGTAAATGTCTTCTAGAAAAGCATTTTCTTCGGCGGCTTTATGGCCAAAGGGCACTGTCAAAATTCCGTCGAAAAGGAGAAATCGTTTTGTGTCGAATGGTGATAATGCAAGTTTAGTTAGTTTCACTGTCAAATTGGTGTGACCTTTCGAAACTATATTATAGTTGTACACTCTCACTGTTTTTCCAGTGAATAATGTGTCCCTGAAGTTTTGGTGGACCAGTTCTCTCTGTGCACTCCGTTTTATTCCTTTGGCACTCAGTTTTTGAGTGCCTTCTAAACAGAAGCGAAATTATGATTCTTCTCTACAACGCAGGGTTAGTTTCATTTCACCTCAGCAACTCAATTTAGACCGAACAAAGTTTGATCCATTTTACCAAAAAAGAGCAGATGACTCTAAATTATGTTTAAAAAAGAGGAAAATAGAAGAAATATGTTGTCAGATAAATCAACGTTTAGGCAATATTGTATAATGTTGCCTGAATCAGCTAATTGATTATAGTTTAATGCAACAAATTAAGGGGGAGGGGGGTTGGTGCTGGTTTTTTTGTTCGGAAAAAGGTATGAATGGGGGTGAAAGGGTAGCTTAAATTTTATTTACCATCAAGGAAGACCGAATTTAGTTTCGGTTTGAGGGCGATGAATTCTCTGATCGGCTTCCCACCAATCTCGTCCTTGAACTTCAGCATAACTTTCTTGTTGGTATCTTCGAACAAGAAATGGTCGTCATCGTAATTTGAAAAATCGAAATCAGCTTTTATTTTCTCTAAGTCTCGGTAAACATCATCAGATTTTATGGCATAAATAAAACTATTCGTATCGGAAAAAAGAGTTCCAAATTTAGATTCGGTAATGAAACTGAAACATGAAACTGAAACATGAAACGCTTGGCGAGGTCTAGGATGGTCGCACCAACTATCATAGGTTTGTCCCACACTTTTTTGTTACTGAAAAGCTGATTGTGGGTAATTGATCGTGAATGGTTTGAAAGCTTTTTATTGTGCTCAGAGCTGGTTCTTGTAAAAGTTCTCTCTCATTCTTTACAATCCCCAGTTTCTTATTTCCTAACTTAGACTCCATTGTCCTATCGAAAGCTGAATTAACAATTAGCTTGTAAAAAATCTCCGGGAATTTATTTACCGCAGTTTTTTGTAGGCGGGTGTTGAGATCTACAAAGGGTGCCATCCAGTGACTTTGGCTTAACTGAAGAACTTTTCCGAGGTGAATTATTTTCAATCCCAGCTCGTAGTGTGGTACATTTTTAGGGTAAGGTAATGCAAAACAAAACCATTATAGAATGCAAGGTCTGTAGAAGCTTTGGCACTTTTGGCAGTGCGGTGATTCCCAATTTTTCCAACATGTCGACTTGCTCGTTGCTCATTGCACCGATATCCAATACTTCACGAGAGGGGGCAAGGGGATAATAAGCAAAGAAGTCGCGAAGCTCTTCGGATATGGTCAAATTGACTTCAACTATATAATCCGGCTCTGAGGTTTCGCTGGTGAACAGTTTGTCTGCCAGACTTTTTTCAACTATTGAAAAATTGCTTAATGGCAAAAGGCATTGTTTCATTTTCCCCCCGTACAAGACGTTTGCATCAATTTTAAGGTTGTAGCTTGATGGTTCTGAGGGCAAAAAATTGTTGAGGTATTCAATGTTTGCTTTGTAAAATTGGCGCGCGTAAACCGACGTCATGCCTCCTCGTATCATTCGCCTCCTCGTATCATTCGGTCCTGTAAGAGTTTCAGTTCGGGCTTACAAATTTTTTGAAAGGTGTCCCTGAAAGGTTACTTGCGGTGAAGTAACAGGCGCAATCCAGCCAGTATGTTTGATAGCAAACTTCACAAAAAGCTTCGAAGATGGAAGCAAGTAAAAGCACATCTGTAGTCAAGTACAGGTCTTGGTAATCACCAAGTGAACCACACTTCAGTTCTGTGAAAAATTTTTAGGGCATGATTGTACTCGCTTTTTGAAACACTCACATACCCTCCTGTTAGACTAATTTTCCACATTGCTCCTGGGAGAAGGCGAGTTTCACGGAATTTTTCGAAGGAGTTGAATTATGAGCTTTCTGTTTCAACATACGGACTTTTTCAAGTGAGTGGCTGAATTTTTCAAAATATTTCTCCAGCAGAAAACTCATTTCGTTGGGGAAATTATCGACAAGTTTTGCCAACGGCGCTACCATGAATCTATACGAATCGTTGAATATCAGATTTTTGTAGAGTTATTTGATTTATCCGTTTTTGTCCGTGTACGTTTTCATATATACTGAGATTGTCAAGGATATATAATTTTCTTCAGATGCGGGTATTAAGGAAAAAGTGGTTTCCGAGTCGCTTTTTGTCAGCGCTTTGATTATAAAGTGTAAATCATAATTTGACAAATTATGAGCTACCACTGGAATGTTGTTTTTCTATCAATGTTAAACTCATTGTAAGCCCAACCCAGAAACTCGTTGGTGTAATGAAAATGATCAAATGTGTCATTTTTCTACGTAAATTTGTCTCGCTAACGATTCAAGGGAGCTAATTAGCTCTTCCATCACATTCGGTCCTCTTTTAAGCTCAAACTTGAACAGGTCTTTTGTCCCAAATTCCGTTACTGCTAACGCGTAGCCGCACGGTTGATGGATTTCAATTGTTTGCGTGCTAGATTTTTACGGATGAGGTTGCGGTCCGTATACTGGTAAGAGCAGTGACTCCAGATCAAAGTAGATTATTCTGGGATTACTTCTTGTAACTGAAGAACTTTTCCGAGGTGAATTATTTTCAATCCCAGCTCGTAGTGTGGTACATTTTTAGGGTAAGGTAATGCAAAACATAACCATTTTAGGATGCAAGGTCTGTAAAAGCTTTGGCACTTTTGGCAGTGTGGTGATTCCCAATTTTTCCAACATGTCGTCTTGCTCGTTGCTCATTGCACCGATGTCCAATACTTCACGAGAGGGGGCAAGGGGATAATCAGCAAAGAAGTCGTGAAGCTCTTCGAATATGGTCAAATTGACTTCAACTATATAATCCGGCTCTGAGGTTTCGCTGGTGAACATTTTATCTGCCAGACTTTTTTCAACTATTGAAAAATTGCTTAATGGCAAAAGGCATTGTTTCATTATCCCCCGTACAAAATATTTGCAACTTTTTTAAGGATGTAGCTCGATGGTTCTGAGGGCAAAAAATTGTGGAGGTATTTAAGGTTTGCTTCGTAAAATTGGCGCGCGTAAACCGACGACATGCCTTCTCGTATCATTCGCCTCCTCGTATCATTTGGTCCGGTAAGAGTTTCAGTTCGGGCTTACAAACTTTTAGAAAGGTGTCCCTGAAAGGTTACTTGCGGTGAAGTAACAGGCGCAATCCAGCCAATATGTTTGATAGCAAACTTCACAAAAAGCTTCGAAGATGGAAGCAAGTAAAAGCACATCTGTAGTCAAGTACAGGTCTTGGTAATCACCAAGTGAACCACACTTCAGTTCTGTGAAAACTTGTAGGGTATGATTGCACTCGCTTTTTGAAACACTCACATACCCTCCTGTTAGACTAATTTTCCACATTGCTCCTGGGAGAAGGCGAGTTTCACGGAATTTTTCGAAGGAGTTGAAGTATGAGCTTTCTGTTTCAACATACGGACTTTTTCAAGTGAGTGGCCGAGATTTTCAAAATATTTCTCCAGCAGAAAACTCATTTCGTTGGGGAAATTATCGACAAGTTTTGCCAACGGCGCTAGCATGAACCTATACGAATCGTTGATCATCAGATTTTTGTAGAGTTATTTGATTTATCCGTTTTTGTCCGTGTACGTTTTCATTTATACTGAGATTGTCAAGGATATTTAATTTTCTTCAGACGCGGGTATTAAGGAAAAAGTGGTTTACGAGTCGCTTTTTGCCAGCGCTTTGATTATAAAGTGTAAATCATAATTTGACAAATTATGAGCTACCACTGGAATGTAATTTGTTGTTTTTCTATCAATGTTACACTCATTGTAAGCCCAACCCAGAAACTCATTGGTGTAATGACAATGATCAAATGTGTCTTTTTTTCTACGTAAATTTGTCTCGCTAACGATTCAAGGGAGC